AGGGTTGAATTAGACAGGAGGGAAATGAGAGAGCCCTCCTGAGTACGAGGTTTGAAAAGATACCTGGCATATAAGAAAATGAGGAGTTGTGGGGACAATTCGGAAGCTGATGAATGGCTGTCTACAATAAATATGATTGTATAGAACGTGGGCTAGGACTCTGAAGACAATTCAAGTTTAGCTATCCTTTGGGTGAGTAAGACAAAATAATCCTGGGACTAAAAGGAAATTTTCGTATCTGACTCCTTTGTCTGCAATGCACTCACTTGACTGGACAGTGCAGTCAAGTCTTCTAACTCCTGTGCTACTGTTACTTTCTTTTACAGCAGTCTACCATTCCATCTGTTTCCTTGATGGGGAAGAATATGACAGTATAAAGCTATTGTTGATTTTCTAGGAGAGTTTTAGAAAGCATGGCATTTGTGAATGGCTCTGTTTATAGAAAGGGGTTACCTCTCTGTGAGTTTTGAATTATCAAAACATTTGTGCCCATATGACCTGGTCAGTTACAAACATATACTCTCAAATTTACATTTCTATGATTGGCCATTAGGCCTGTGATTACACACAGTTCTGAGTCCTCAGTGTTGCTGCCAAGGTAGTTATAATCAATCCTCAAGTCTGGGAGGTTCTGGCGTTAGAGGAGACTTTTTCAGTATGCCTTCCTTGGGACAGGTCAGAACTCTGAACTATGCTGAGGTAAGTCCTTATCATTTTGATAACTAGCCAATGGGTGCACCTCAAAGCCAAGTCTGTGGTAGTATATTTAGAAATGCTTTGAAAGAGATGACTTTCTTAAGAGGTCTGCTCCCTGCAGATACTACAATAAAGAGGGGCAGCAACTTTCTCATTATCACCTTCCATGTAGTTCTTACTGTAGTTTTTACATCTATTTTTAAGATGATGGGAGGGAAGACATGAGTTGGCTTTGTTTTGTCTTTTAAAAAACTGTTGGCTGGAAATATGTATTGGCATTTGAGTAATGTGACTCTTGTCTTTTGAAAATGAATAAGACCAAAATGGTAGCTCAGGGTGTCAGATCCCTTCAAGATAAACAGACAAGAACTTGTCTTTGTCACACAGGACTCATATCCTCTAGGGGTTAATTTCAGTCGTTCTCATGATATTTAGGGATGTTTCTTCCATGTCAAAAAGAAGCTTTGTGCTGTATCTACTTTAAAGGCAAGACTGTTATCTATAGCAGCTAGTGGTCAATAATAGAAACGCAGGCTTAAAAATTATTTTATTGAGGTGTTGCTGGGAAAGCCAGGGTCTGGAAAATCTTGCTATATAAAGAAACAGGTAAGTAAGACCTAGAATAGCAAGCGAAGTTACATGGAAAAGTTTTGGAGAGGTTTTTAAAAGAGATAGTTTATTTGTTTAGTGTGTGAACGTTGATTTATTAGACAAACTGCTTTTTCTTACTTTGCAAATGAAGGGGAAGGAAAGGTTTGTGTGTGCCAGTATTTAATATCATTACCTCAAGCAGGGTCAGCCTTTTCTAAGCCTTGCTGCTAAATCTGGAGTTCAGCGGAAATTAGTGTTGATCATCATAAAATATTTGGTTTTACACATTGTGTGTGACTTCTCCAGATGGTAGTAGGCTTGTGGAATTAACCTATGGAACAGCAAAAAGCTAAAGGTTACAAGATTTTTCCTAGGTACGTTTCTTGACCCCAGTACTGCTAAAACAAGGGCAGGTAAAAGCAAAGGAAAGCCTGCTTTTGCATTCTTTTGACCAGTTCAGACCCAGTGTGAATAGTGCTTCATAGCCGAGAGATACTCGGAGGAGACTGGGAAGTAATGTCTGGCTGCCACACTGCTTATGTCATTGCAGAAGTAGGCTTTCGAAAACAGCTTAAGATTTATTAAGGAAACGGCAAGCCCCGGGAATGCAGATTACATATTTCTTATACATCATGCTGAATCAAATACCCATCTTATGTTGCATTCCTCTAACTCTGACCAGGCCTCTGTCCCACTCTGTTATGCCGAAACAATTTCCCGTGCCCTTGGAATGTCATGGGCAGCGGCACCGGTGCACGCTTTTCCCAATTAGGTAGCTGCCACCTTATCACTAAAGCATGTTTCTGTTCTTTGGTCATTTCCATGCCCTGCATTGTGTAACTGGCACGCCTATGTTATTTAACCAGTATCTGTCTCTTGCTCCAGAAAGTTGGAGCAGAAAGAACCCCCGGTTCACCCTTACCGGTTTAAATATGGGAAATCTCAGCTAACATGAGGTGAGGACAGGAGAAGTGACTTGCTCCAGCTCTTAACTTCTCTTGGTGATTTTGGCAGAACCAGTACTCGGACGGGTCTCCTGACTCATGTTCCTGGCAGCCTGTCTAGTGTTCTTTCTACTAGATTGGCTATTATAATAAAAATAACATCCTACTGAAACCATTTCCTTTATTAGGTCTTTTGGCTGGGGTTATAAACAACAACATTGATTAAATTTAATTTAGTTAGTTGATTATGGATCTCTGCTGGTTCAAGTCCTTTCTCTTATTCTTTTGAGCAATGAATGGTCCAAAGGTAGGCATCAGGAGAGGGAAAAGTTAAATGTCTTCTAATACCCACTCGGTGTAATCAACCATTAAGTAATGAAGACATGGTACCATTACTGTTTTGTTTACTTTATGATATTTTTAAAATCTGTTGGCTCAATTTTTTTAAATGTTTATTTATTTTTGAGAGAGACAGAGAGACAGAGAGACAGACAGTATGAGTGGAGGAGGGGTAGAGAGAGAGAGGGAGACACAGAATCTGAAGCAGGCTCCGGGCTGAGCTGTTAGCACAGAGCCTGATGGGGGGCTCAAACCCACAAACTGCGAGATCATGACCTGAGCTGAAGTCAGATGCTTAACCGACTGAGCCACCCAGGCGCCCCCTTTGGCTCAATTTTTGAGTTGAAAGGAAAAACACAACTATGGAAGGTGGGGTCATCTTGTGTTCCATCTCTCCTGAGCCTACATGCTCAGACTATTCCCAGTTCATACATTTTGGGTAAGAGAATGGGAAACGTAGTGTTTTGGGGTTTGGGGAGTGTTACTTTGGAAGATTATAAAATGACTCTCAAGAGAGTGTATTTTGATCAGAGACTAGAATGGAGACAGGGTGGTGGAAAGATCAGAGTTTGCTCCCATAGACTCTTAGCTTCTAATTCAAGTCCCCAGGAGGTGGTTTCAGGGCCAAGAGAGAGCATTTTTATTCCCTTGTAATCCTAGGGTCAATATTTTTCTTGTTTGAAATTGACTGAGCTGGAAGGATGCTGGAGTAGCCCTCTGCCTCCGGAAGTGGACCTGAAGGAGGGTGCACACACACGGTCATGACCTCCAGTTTAGCTTTTTTGTGACCCCCCCCCCCCACTTCTGTGGTTTTATCTTCACTGTGGTGATCACATAATAGGAGGGTTCTTCCAGGTCTGTCGTCAGAATCACCTCCACCCAAGCATGAATTCCACTAACGATCAGAAATGAGAAACATCTGGAAACATTGGACTTATTTGGGAAAATTTCAGGAATCTTCATGTTGACCTGAAACTGCTTTAGGATTCTATAAAGAACCCTGAAATATGGGTCTATAATTTCCTTCAACTCTTGCTTCCAAAGCGGAAGTAACCTAATTTAAGAATCTGCAAAGCATGGCACTCTCTCTTAGCATAAAATATAAAGTGTGTGTATGTGAGTGTCTTTAAGTTTTTTGAGGCTCACACTCTTCAAGATATAGCAAGGTTGGCAGTTTTTGTGAATACTTTTACATTTTAACTTTCTTTTTTTTTTATGTTTATTTATTTTTGAGAGAGAGAGAGAGAGAGCACACACACAAGGGGAGTAAGGACAGAAAGAGAGGGAGACACGAAATCTGAAGCAGCCTCCAGGCTCTGAGCTGTTAACACAGAGCCCGATGCAGGGCTTGAACTCACAAACTGTGAGATCATGACCTGACGAAGTTGGACACTCAACCAACTGAGCCACCCAAGCACCCCAACATTTTAACTTTCTGAAGAGACGGGTTTGTTTTGGGCACACATAGTGGTGAAATTTAATTACTGCCCCTAGCATTATTGTGCAAGTATTCTGAATACACCAAATGGCCTGATACTTGCAGTCTGAACAGTGCATTTCTTTTTTCAAACTTCTCCCATATACTTAAAAAAAAAATCAGCTTTTAGGAGCTTATTTCAGTATGAAAGAAGGTTAATATTTCGTACTTAAAAAAATAAGCTAGGAGCCACTGATATGACGCTATCAACTTTGTAATGTGAGCTACTATAATTTTTAAGTCCATATATATTCATGTATTTTTATTCATACTGATTTGCAAAATGTGTACATCTCACTTTTTAACTATTTTATTATGGAATGTTTTAAACATACACAAAAGTTAACAGAACAATACAGTGAAATCTCACGTGTCTTTCATGTGTCATGTTAATCTTGTTTCATCTGCAGACCTTCCTTCTTCTCCCAAAGCATGGGTTGTTATAAACTAAATTTTAAACACTGTGCTATTTCATTCACAAATTATTTAAAATGTAACTCTAAGAGATTAGGATTTTTTTTTTTTGAGATTAGGATTTTTTAAAGTTTATTTATTTATTTATTTTGAGAGAGCAAGGGAAGGGAGGGGCAGAGAGAGAGAGAATCCCAAGCAGGCTCCGCACTGTCTGTGCAGACCTCAGTGGGGACCTCGAACTCAAATCCTGAGATCATGACCTGAGCTGAAATCAAGAGTCAGAAGCTTAACCCACTGAGCCAACCCAGGTGCCCCAGAAGAGATTTGGGATATTTAAAAAATGTAACCATATCATTAGTACACCTGAAAAAAATAGCTGTACTTATTATATCATCTATGTTATCATCAATGCTCAGAAACTCCTGAATCTCTTTTAATCTAGAACAGTTCCCTCTCTGTCTTGTTCTTTTTTTTCCCTCGCCATATGCTAGTTGAAGACATTGGTTTTTTTTTTTTTTTTTTCTTTTCTGTAGCCTTTCCCATATTCCAAACTTAGGTTATAGCATCTCCGTGGTGCTGTTTTCTATATTCCTTCGTGTCTCCTATTTTCTGTAATTGAAGACAGCATGTTTTAATTTGAGATCTTTCCTACAATGTCACTGTGTTCAACTTAATTTATTATAAATATATGTAATGTATATTATATATATATATATATACTTACTGGATTATTATTGTTTCTCTTTTAAATATTGCTAAAACGACTTTAATAATGGTGTAAACACACCATTATTATGTGAGTCTAACTGATAAAAGTCACATCTTGTGGACTTAAGTAAAAATCAGGAATTTTGTTGGTAGGAAGGGGATTTGAATGGCCCATAGGTGTTTTGAGGTTATTTTTGCTGTGTCTCCTCTCTATTGCCTTCCTCACTGGCTGGAGAGAGTTGTCACAGGAATCTGCTGCCAAATTCCTTGGAGAATCTCAAGAATATTTTTTTTTCAAGACTATTTTAAAGCTCATACAAACATGTCTTATTCAAGGAACTAGACAAAAATTTTTGATGCCCATAATTGATGTTTTACCCTCTTCACTAAGAGTCCTCTAAGATTTTTAGGGATGCCTGGGTGGCTCAGTGGTTTAAGCATCCTACTCGATTTCCACTCAGCTCATGATCTCATGGTTAGTGAGTTTGAGCCCCACGTTGGACTCTGCGCTGACAGTACGGAGCCTGCTTGGGATTCTCTCCCTCTCCATCCACCCCTCCCCTTCTTTCTCTCTCTCTCTCTCTCAAAATAAACATTTAAAAAAGAGTCCTCTAAGATTTTTATTCCTATAAAACACGCTAGATTTATTTAAAAGTAGCCTCTGACCACAGGAGATAAAGATCCCTATTTGAAGTATGGTTATCACTGTTGATTGCGATCACTTTTAGGAACCTTTGGACACCATCTGGAGTCCTCTTTTGGACAGAGCTTAAGACTTCAGGACAGCAAGAGATGACAGAAGGGAATGGTAGTGTGAGGTTAGACTCCTTTATTGTGATAGAAAGAAGCTGGAACTCTTTTTAACTTTCTGTCCTCACTTCTTCCATCTGCCTTAAATGTTCTCATTACCCCCCTCGCTCACCACCGCAAGCTGTGCTCTTTCCTCCCTGCAGCCTCATTTCATGCTTTGTTCTATCTTTAATGGTTTCCCTGACCTCTTTGTGTAGGTGATTTCAGAGTATAATAGAATAAAACTTCAAATGCGGCAACAAAGGCAAACCTAGAGAAAAAGTGTGTGATCGGTGTCCTGAGAGCTGTCCGCCAATCCAGCGGTCCTCACCTTTCTCCGCAGCCTGGCCGTGGGCCACGCCGACACCTGGCCAGTCCGAGGATGCCGCAAGCTGCCTGGGTTCCAGAGAGCCTCAGCTGGCAGTCACGAAAGGCCTTCGTGTATTTTAAGCTGCGTGGGCATGTGGGCAGCATGCGTCTGCCTCTGCATGTCTGGGAGGGTGTGTGTGCACACAGTAAGATTTACAGCCGCCTGTGAATAGGTTCAGTCTGCAAGGACAAAATGGCCTTCTTATTCTGCCATTAAAATAACTTATTCCTGTGGAGCCGCTTTTTCTTTGGCTCTTTCTGAGAGATGAAAAGATCCTCGTTGGAGATTACCAACCTACCTACATGTGTCTAATGGATAATAATTTTTTTTTTTCAAATCGGCAGATCTTTAAATACTAAGTTTATTTATTTATTTTGAGAGGAGGGAAGAGGGGCAGAGAGAGAGAGACAGAGACAGAGAATCCCAAGCAGGCTCCGAGCTGTCAGCCCAGAGCCCGAAGCCGGACTCCATCTCACCAATCTCAGGAGCTGTGAGATCATGACCTGAGCTGAAATCAAGAGTTGGATGCTTAACCAACTGAGCCATCCAGGCGCCCCTAGGAAGATCTTTAAATGACAATGAACATGGCACCAGGGAAGAGTGGGAACTCATTTGCCTCTATGTTGACTTGTTAAAAGAACGAGAAGGGTACTATGCCTACTAACAGAAACTTCTCTGTACTGGGATATAGTCTTGAGTGAGGAAGAAGAGTTGAAAGGAACAAAGTTTAGGAAGTGGGATGAGTGAGGGGGAGATGAGGATGGGCTGAGACCATGATTTAGGGATGCTTGCAGAAACTGTGTGGGAGGTGATCTGTGAAGGAGACAGGATCTGGGGATATTTGCCGGGAGGAGGCGTTTGCCAGTGGGTGTGGGGCTGAGCAGAGAAGTGAGCCTTGTTTGCAGAGATGGCCGAGGCCGAGGAGGATTTAGTGATGAAAGGAAATATTTGTGCAAAAGGAGGGTATGTTTGCGGAAGGGAGAGCTAAGAGGATTGAAGGTTTAAGTGAGGATGGTGTTTGGATTAACAGAGGATGGGGAAATGGCTGCTTTGGGAGTTCTGAAATGAGAATATCGCTAGAGAAGGAAGTGGTTGTTCCTGAAGCTTCTAATTAGCTCCCCCCCACCTTCATCATATTTTCTTGTTGGGATTAGTGGACAAAGAGGGAGGTTTTGTATCCATTGTTCTCCATTCTTTAGCTTTGAGTTGGGGGCTAAAACAGATTCCCCGGTTTTCCCTTTTCCTCCTCTAAAAGCTCCCCCTTGGGCCCCATCTGCTGTGACAGGAATACCCCTCCTCCCCAGAATTCATGTAAAGAATGGCACCACTTCTGAGAGACTGCTCCAAGCTGGTGTCTGAATTCAATTACATGTCATCAGTGCGTGCTTTATTTATAACATCACCATATTGTAAACATCAGCGTTGAAAGAGACCAGCCTGTGGACCACCAGTGTTCTGGGAGAGCTTTGCAACCAGGGTCAGCCACTGTCTGCGACGACATATGTTCCCAGAGCCAGCGCCTGGGCTTGGAGGGCCCGAGTAGGACACAGCAGACACTCAAGCTTTTTTTTTTTTATAAAGTGGAAATTTTAACCTATACCCTCCCTGATCTTGGGGGGAATTATTTTTTCTGAATTTGCTTCTGTAATCTACATCCTCACCTTTTCCCAGCCATAGGAAACAGTCTTCACTTTGCGCTTCACCCTCTCTGCTCGGACAGATCTGCTTTAATTAATCCTCACTGTTCTGGACAACCCTAAGAGGTATCTGTGCATGGCAACATCAGATGACAAGTAACGTGTTGTATACGGCGGGACTCCTCCAAACTCTTTTGGGTTTCTGCATAACTGCATTTATACAGACTAGACTCTGAGTCCCTCTCACTTAACACAACACGACCCAATGCAGCACAAGGAACACAACACTCTTTGTATATATTTGCTTTTTTTTTTTTTAACCCTTTGCTCACTGGGTGTGTTTTCAACATCCTGAAACCAAGATCCCTGCAGCTCTGGCCATTGCAGTGCTGTCAATTCACTGTTGGGGACACAGTTTGAATGAGATTAGCTTCACTGTATTGTTACTGAGTATAAAAGGCACTGGAGAATTCTGTGTTAAAATAGATACCAGAGCCATGTGTCAAAGAGAAAAGGAGCTACCAAGGCACTTATCAACATGATCCTTGAGATTAGTTTTGCAAGTCATTTTCTTCTCTAGGGAAAATGTACTGAGTTTCTGTGGTATCATCCGGAGATCTCTTCATGTCTTCTGGCATTTTCTACTTGACAATGAGCTGATGTACATTTCAGGTGATAAAATAACCAGAGCTCTAAGGGGTGGGAGGTGGGGGATTAAATTTATGGATTGGAAAGTAAGCCCAAACATTTCAACACACATTAACTTCTTTCCTGTTTAGACTTCCCGGTGTTGTCTTTTCTCTCAGACGGGCACCAGATGCCTTCTCCCCTTCGCCACGCCCATTCTGGGGATATGCATGTAATATATGTACTTGTGAAAGCCCTCAGGACTCTTGCTTCCACAATAACAATGCAGTGGTTTTTATAATTTCCCTGAGACTTCTTTTTTTAGTTGACATAAAATGTTCGAAAAACCCAAAATAAACACACAGAAGCCAGGCCGGAGGCAGGGTCCTCCTTGCCTGCCTCCTCTCTTACACCTGCTAACACAGATCCCTCCCTTCTGCTCTCCTCTCTCCAGTTCACCACTGTGGCACACCTCTCTCACGGTGCTTCGGTTCTTCCTCGTCCTGAACTTGTCTGCCGTCTCTGATGCATCTGTCTGCAGTGTCCCCATCCCCGCTCCTTCCCCTCGTCACCAGGGAATTCATTAACCCCAATCTTTTCCACTGTGTTCTCCACCTTCCTGCCTCCCTGGTCCTTGTCAACCCATCAGCCTCCTTCATAGTACATACTGGCTACCAGTCCCCATTCCCCTGTCTTTTCCCATCTCTAGGCCTTCTCTAATGTGATCTCACCTGCAATGAGAAGACCTGTGGAAGTAGGGAAGGGGAAAGGTGTCACAACCATATTATCATGCCTGGGCTCAGGAGGGGTCAGGAAGGGCACCGGCTGGTTCTCCACCTTTTGAGTTGAGTGGGTCGGTGGGATTAAGAGATACCAAATTGAGACCAGTATACATACGCACTCAACTCTGACAGAAGGACGAAACTTTGGAAAAATGAGTAAGTTCCATATTTGTGTTTGATGATGCATTTTTATATGTACAGCCTTTCACATATCCTTACCAGACCTAGTGAGGTTGAACTGAAAAAATGCAGTATCAGATGTGACTATCCCTTCAGGTAGTCTCTGGAATGTGCCTACCTCCAAATTGTGTTTAACTTTCCCCTACAAGTATGTATGGGGAAGAGATGTTGCATGTTTCTCAGACGTGGCTTCTTATTTGCAAATGTCCTTCCCTGGAGTCTGCAAAGCTGATCTTCCTTCAGCAAGTACCGCTATGCAGTACTTTGGTGTTGCATTTTGTTTGGCCAACCAAACTGTTCCAGTAATTCTACTTCTTGATTTTTATAAAAGCATGTGTGAGGAGGAGAGGGGTATCAAGTGTACCACTCTGCAGGGTAGTAAGAAACCTGTAGTAGTTTCATATTCTATAGTTTTATTTGCCCAGATAAAGAGGGAAAAGAATTTGTGAATATTTCATTTGGGTGATTCAGTAGCATTTGAATCTGCAAACAGGCTCAAATATAGTGATATATTTTATAATCTAAAATGACATCCTTCTTGGGGCACCTGGGTGGCTCAGTTGGTTAAGCGTCTGACTTCAGCTCAGGTCATGATCTCGCAGTTTGTGAGTTCAAGCCCCGCATCAGGCTCTGTGCTGACAGCTCAGAGCATGGAGCCTGCTTCAGATTCTGTGTCCCCCTTCTCTCTCTGCTCCTCCACTGCTTGTGCTCTGTCTCACTCTGTCTCTCAAAAATAAATCAGTGTTTAAAAAAACGTTTAATGACATAACTATCTTATATGGCTGAGTCAAAAAAAGTATAACTTTTACCCACACCAAAATAGAGTTAATTTATTTTATACATGGTGGCCTGACCAATTTTATTAGGAGAAAACAGAAAACCATACACTTTAAAAAAATTAAACCTTTAAGGGTCCATTTTGATATGAGGTATTAAGCCCTTCATCTCTGTGCTGTTAACAGAGTAAATGTTTAAAATGCAGCACTTGGGCTCACTGTTTAATTTTTTACTTCTGTTTAATCACGGGTGCCCTAGCTTGCTTTCTGGATTGCTGTCTCTGCACATTGTGGGAATTCCTCTTCTAACTCAGCTCTGTTACCCATTTTGTATACATTATCTTAAAACCAAAGTCTCCCCACTGACTTGCATTCTTTTCTTGTCTATTCTAACATCTCACTTAGGGATTTCCTTTTGGAGCCTTGTCTAAAATATCCTAAATGGTTGGAGGATTGCTTTCCAGTTTAAACCATGCTAAGGGTAGGCACATGGCTTGGACCCTTGAGGGCCTATCCTACATGGTGGTAGAGATGGGAAAGAATTTAGATCACTATGAGAGCAAAATGCTTGGTTATTAAATAGAGTTCATCCCAGAAGAGGTACATGCTAGAAATTTTCAAAAAGGACCATGACATAAAAAATAACTCTTTTTCCTTACACGATTTTTGTTAATAGACAAATCATGTAGAGACAGGGCATTTGCTGCATGTACCAGTAGTCTAATCTCTAATGGGCTTGGAATTTTGCTTATACCCTTAAAATCACAGAATTTTAGGGGCTCCTGAGTGGCTCAGTCGGTTAAGTGTCTGACTTCATCTCAGGTCATGATCACAGGGTTAACGAGTCTGAGCCCCTTGTCAGGCTCTGTGCTGACAGCTCAGAGCCTGGAGCCTGCTTCAGATTCTGTGTCTCCCTCTCTCTGCCCCTCCCCCATGCGTGCTCTGTCTCTGTCTCTGTCTCTCAAAAATAAATTAAAAAAAATTTTTTTTAATCACAGAATTTTAAGTGTAGAAGTGGCCTTATGCTACCTTTGGGAAGTACTCAACAGGTTCCCTTTCCTTCAATGGGACTTAATGTTATTGTAATTTCTTTCCACCATAATTTCCATAGACTGCCACTCTACTGAGTTAATCCCCTCCATGCTCCTTTACCAGGGTCAATCCGTTCTTTTTTAAGGCATGTGCCCGAATAGCAATCATTTGTTCATATGAGTGTCTCACCCTTTGGACTATAAGCCGTGTAAGGCAGGAAGTGGTGTCTGACCACATACTTCTCAGTACTCAGCTTGAAAGCCTAGTTTATGGTAAGAACTTAAGGAAGATTAACACCTACGTAGTAGCAAACAACTCCCAAATCTCAGTGGCTTAAGACCATCTTGGGTTGGCAGGGGTCCTCTTCCACAGTGTCCTCGCTGAGGGGCGTAGGCTAACAATGTCTCCACAGACTTGAATGCATGCGAGGCGTCTCGGCCGGGGTGGGGACAGAAAGCGTGAATCATGCCCCAGCTCTTCATGCTTCAGCTTGGAACCGGCATCTCACTTTCTCTCATAGTTCCTTGATCAAAGCAAGAGACTTAGCCATATCCCAGTGTTATAGGGGTGTAGAAGAACAATACTGCGGTGATTCTGAGAGGAGAACAACAGGAATTTTAGTGCACGATTACCTGCCAAATCAATATCTGACACTCTGTACGCACTGAAGGGCCATCTAATGAATGAAGTACCTAGCACTTTCTGTTGGGCTTTTAATTTCTTTCCATACAATAAGCAGAACCACAGTTTTTAGAAGATGAGGGCACTAATATTATTGTCCAAGCTATGTTCAGTAAACTTCCGGGACTTCTTTGGTAACCACTCTGTTTACTTTACTCGTATCAGGAAAACCGTTGTGTTTTTCAGATGACTAGAGTATGGAATGGGGAAATTTGAGGCAATTAACATTTTGCCTGAGTCATTTAGAATAGTAGGAAAAAATGCCAACACCTTCATATGTTTACATGTTAAGTTAATCTGACCAAGAGCCTTTTTTAGAAGAGTTAGGATCTGGCTCAACAGTTAAAAGAAAGCTTAGGAAAAATGAGAGCCTAAACATGAAGTATTTCTGAAAACATTTGAGTTCTGCTTTCTTAGCAAATTTCAATCATATAATAATGTTTTCAACTACAGTGTAGTCACCATGTTTTACATTACATCCTCAGGCACCCAACTTATGGCTGAAAGTATGCACCCTTTTACCAACTCGTTTATAACTTGAATGCTCACACACACGCATGCACACACACACATACATGTGAAGTAGGAGATGTGTTAATTAACCAGATGGTGAATCCTTTCACAACATATGCGTACGTCACATCACCACAGTGTACATTTTAAATATCTTACAATCTTATCTGTCAATTATACTTCATAAAGCTGAAATAAAATAAAGTAAAATAAATGCAGATTTTAAAAAGAGAAGTATTACTACAGATTATATACTCTAGTATTTTACACTAAGTGTTTCCCCCCCTTAACTGTCAAAGCAACTCAGGTAGATTTATGAAATGTGGAAAGTACAAACTAGTATGAGAGTGGAATTAAAAATCACTGGTAGGTATGCCTGGGTGGCTCAGTCAGTTGAATGTCCAACTCTTGATTTCAACTCTTGATTGATCCTGAGTCATGGAATTGAGCCACCCTCAGCATGGAGCCTGCTTGAGACACTCTCTTCCTCTCTCTCTCTCCTCTCTACCCCTCTCCCCTGCTCAGGAACTCTCTCTCTAAAATAATAATAATAATAATAATAATAATATCATCACTGGTAATGCCACCCCCTAGATAAAACCACTACTAACTTTTGCCGTGATCTCTTCCATTCTGTTGTTCTTATTCTTGGCGTAGAATAGGCATATATACAAAGCCAGAGAAGATATTGGCTCATGATAAGGTATGGCAGTGGAAATGGCAAGAAATGATTAGATTGAGACTATTCTTTAGGGACAATGTTGATAAGATTTATTGATGGATAAATAAATAAAAGGAGGAAGAATATGATAGGCCGGGGATGGAGCTGATGGAGAAGACATTAATTGGGGACATCAGTGACGACTCCCAGAATTTCGGCCTGAGCATCTGTGTGTAATCTGTGTGTATGGGTGGGTGTACGTATCAGAAACCTGCATTCATTTATATATGGCTTTTAAAATTTACTGAACATGTATGAATGCACTTTTTATGCTATAAATTACACTTCAGGGCCAGCTGGGTGTCTCAGTCAGTTGAGCATCCAACTCTTGATTTTGGCTCAGGTCATGATCTTATGCTTCATGGGTTCAAGCCCCAAGTTGGGGTCTGCACTGACAGCGCAGAGCCTGCTTAGGATTCTCTCCTCCCTCTCTTTCTCTCTGCCCCTCCCCCACCCTCTCTTTCTCTGTCTCTCTTTCAAAATAAATAAACTTAAAAAAATTATACTTCAAAATAATTATTTTAAGTGATCATGTAATATTCATTCCTATGAAGTATTGTAGCTTATTTAACCTTCTCCCTGTTGTTAGGCACTTAGGATATTCATCCCCCCCCCCCCCCCATGATATATAACACTGCAGTGGTCTCAGAACCCACTTATTTCCTTGTTTCTTCCATTCAGAAGTATTTAACTTGAGAGAATTGGCCACTGGATTTCCATCATGGCAAACCAGCCAGAGATGAAGTTGTTTAAGAACAGGGGATCATGACTGGAGGTCATCATAGGGGCAGAATGAGATACTAAACCAGGCTCGTGTTACTTTCAAGGTCGTAGCTGGTGGTCACAGGCAGTTTCTCACAGGGATGTTTTTCTTGGGGGCAGAGGTGGCGCTGTCCCTGAAGAACAGAAGACCTGACAAAAGTCAGATGGCACAACCACCTTCCAGCTGGGAGGCAGTTTTAAAGGACAATCTCAGTTTTGTTTTGTTTTGTTTTGTTTTGAGGTCTACTTCAAAAGATAATCATGTTTTTGGGGCACCTGGGTGGCTCAGTTGGTTGAGTATCTGACTTTGGCTCAGGTCATGATCTCACCACTGTGTTCAAGCCACGCATCAGGCTCTGTGCTCACAGCTCAGAGCCTAGAGCCTAGTTTGGATTCTGTGTCTCCCTCCCTCTCTGCCCCTCCCCTGCTCACACTCTCAAAAATAAATAAAAACATTTTAAAAAATTGAAAAGATAATCCTGCTTTTAACCCATCAGGGTGGGATTTGGGTTGGAGGAGAGGGAACTCAAGGCAGAATTTGTTGGGGAAGCTGAACTTTACAAGATGATGTATCCCTAGCTCATCACTAGGACTGAAGCACCCAGATTGCTTCTTGGCCCCAGTATGGATAAGAAGCAGTTCCCTACTCTACTGCCTGGATGTGCCTGGGAGGTTTGCAAAGCTGAGCCACCAAGGCGAAATCCTCAATCCCTTGTCAGGAAGCTGGGGGCGGGGGTGGGGGTGGGGGGCGAGGGGGGGTGGCTGTAACTGAAATTGAAAACTTGTGTTCATTGAGTATCTCACAAACGGGTCAGTGTGAGTCAAGAGAGGTTGGAGATGAGATGGGAATACTAGAAATACCCCTCTTTTGTAAACTTGTAGCCTGGTTACAGAAACAAGGACATTATAAAATTGATTACTAACCATAAGCAACGCTGTTCCTATAGAGACAAGGGAGGTAGTAACTAGTATCTGAGGAGCCTGGCACATTGGACAATCTCAGCAGTTCATGAGTTCAATGAGAGTGTGTAAATTGTATTTTTGCTTTGGTGGTAATGTAAAAAAATACATATTTTTATCCATTACAAATGCAAGCCTTCTTATTTGCAGTGATAATTTGTACTTAAAGTGCATTTTCATAAACTCAAACTTTATTTTCTTAAGTTAATGTTATTCAAACTAGAATCCAAAATACTCTTATGGGTACAGAGGCTTTATAAAAAATGATAAGCAATGGATACTCTGTTTTCACATTTTCAATACTACCTCCTGACCCTAATATGGCAGTAGTTTCATAAACACTCTTACCTCTGTTTCCTTAATTACCTGCCTTTTCTGAAGGGTGCAGGAGCCTTATGGCATATTTCTTCAGAAGGTAACTCTCATAGCCCCTTTTAAAGAGTCATTTTCTGGTTTCTAAAATTTTTTTTTTTTTCGTTTTATTTATCTTAGAGAGAGAGAGAACACAAAGGGGGGAGAAGGGCAGAAGAAGAGGGTGGGGGAGGGAATCAATCTTAGGCAGGCTCCATGTTTGGCACGAAGCCCGACATGGGGCTCAGTGCCACAACCCGGGGATCATGACCTGAGCCAAAATCAACAGGTGGACACTCAACCCACTGAGCCACCTAGGTGCCTGAGAGTCATCTTTTGACCCTCATGTTACTGATCAGTGTCTAGCGTGAAACTTTCTTTATGTGCCAGGATGTGAATTTTGTCTCTGCAGGACTTGACTTCTGAACAATTAATGATTCTAGCAGAGACATCCAAAAGAGGGTCCATTGCACCGCTTTGGGTGTTTGCCTAGTACGCAGGAAGTGCCTGGTCCACCAAGGACTGGAACACCAATGGGAAATTGTCTTTTTTATGGACCAGCCTCATCCTGCACCTGTACTTTGTTAGAGATTTCTTCTCAAATATCATTGATGGCCTCTTGAGTTATTTTTCCTTTGCAGAAAAAATCATCCCAGATCAATGTTCTTTATACTTCTTGATTTTAGTAATAAACTAAAGCAGAGTTCGTGTTTGTTAATTACATCAGGTCAGGCTGCAAGGCTGTTTTTGTTCAGATGTAGGCTGACGAGTACTTGGTTGTTTGCAGTCTTCTTTGTGAAATAAAAATTTCTTTTTTTTTTTTTTCCTTTACAGATTCCAGCAAGATCATGGCAGAGCATAGCCACCTGCAAAAGCAGCTTGATTTACAAAATGGTAGCTTAGAGGCAGATTTTGTGACAAATTCCCTGGAGGACGATTCCCAAAACATGATGGAGAGCTTGAGCCCGAAGAAATACTCTTCCAGTCTGAGATTTAAAGCCAACGGAGACTATTCTGGCTCTTATTTAACCCTCTCTCAGCCAGTGCCTGCTAAGAGAAGCCCTTCCCCTCTGGGAACCAGTGTCAGGAGTAGCCCCTCCCTGGCCAAAATCCAAGGAAGCAAGCAGTTCTCCTGTGATGGAACTGACAAAAGTCTTTCCCTGAAGCCGCCTACTCCTCTACTCAGCACCTCCCCGTCCCTCAGCGGGTATCCACTTGGGAGAGGGGACTTTGATCATTATACCAGCCGCGACAGTGAAAGGTCTTTGAGGCTCACAGAGAAGCCTCCCTATTCCAAATATAGCTCAAGGAATAAATCCCACGACAATGTCTACTTTCTCGGGGGACTGGAAGGCCGGAAGGCGTCTGGCTCACTCCTGGCCATGTGGAATGGAAGTCCCCTGAGCGACAGCGGCTTCTCTCCCATCAGCCGGTCAGGGGCGGCGAGCATGCCTTCAAGCCCAAAGCAAGCCAGGAAAATGAGCGTCCAGGACAACCTGATCCTTCAGCCCAAGTTGACCCGACACAAGGAGCCGGCGTTGGAAAACGTGGGTTTAAGAACTAGGAAGTATTCGGGCAGCAGCCTGAGTCACATGGGGGCCTACAGCCGCTCTCTCCCCAGGTTGCACAGGGCCACAGACAACCAGCTGACACCCCTCACTTTGCCTCCCAGAAACTCCCTGGGCAACTCCAAGCGAACGAAACTGGGGGAAAAGGATCTACCTCATAGCATAATAGACAATGACAATTACCTGAACTTTTCTTCTTTGAGCTCAGGGGCTTTACCCTATAAAACCCCCATGTCTGAGGGCAACCCTTACGTAAGTTCCACCCTCAGTGTCCCTGCCAGCCCTCGAGTGGCTCGGAAGATGCTTCTGGCCTCCACCTCCTCCTGTGCCTCCGACGACCTTGACAGGGCTTCCTATTCGGGGCCCAGCCCGGGTCATTTGTTTCCCGCTGGAGAGCCGGACAGAGTTTTTGCCACCAGGAGGAACTTCTCTTGTGGATCTGTCGAGTTTGATGATGCAGATTTGGACAGCCTCAGACAGGCCTCAGGAACTCCCCAGCCCATCCTTCGGGAAAGGAAAAGCAGCATTAGCTCCATTTCAGGCCGTGAAGACCTGATGGATTATCACCGGCGGCAGAGGGAGGAGAGACTCAGGGAGCAGGAGATGGAGCGACTGGTAATCTTCTTCATCTGACTTGACCTCACTGTTCCCTTGAGCGGTTCTTTTTTTTTTTTTTTTTTTTAATGTTTTATTTATTTCTAGGAGAGAGAGAGAGAGAGAGACAGCGTGAGCAGGGGAGGGTCAGAGAGAGAGGGAGACACAGACTCTGAAACAGGCTCCAGGCTCCGAGCTGGCAGTCAGCACAGAGCCCGACGCGGGGCTCGAACCCACGAACAGCGAGATCATGACCTAAGCAAAAGCCGGATGCTTAACCGACTAAGCCACCCAGGCGCCCCCCCCTTGAGCGGTTCTTGGAGACACACTCCAAGGAAATGTGTGGGTCTGTAGGATGTCCAGGTGCACCAGCCACTGGTGTCTTTCTAGAATTCTGCTATCCTTCCTTTCCTCGGTCACTCTGAGTGGTCACGTGTGGATATTTGAAGGCCTACTTGTACCTAGTGTTATATTAAGTTCCTCCGCAGAGCCCTCTCAAGTGTAGATTCTTGATCAGCGTAACAAAGTAGTTGTGAATTTTACTGAATTCTGTAGAAGTCTTACAAACATTAAGACTATGAGTAAACACTAATTAATATTCTTGATGTCATCAAATTCCCATGTGCATGGTCTGAGAGAAATAAGCCATGAAATCATGACTCACCGGGAATTAGGCAATCCATTTTTCTGAATAGCAAGCTGTCAGGAAGGTTGAAAGGTTGGCTAAGTGTTGCTCAACCTTTTTTCTGCCCTGGACACATACACACACCGCCCCATTCTTCCTTCAGCAGCGCCTCCTAGTACATACGGTGACCCCCAACCTCACATACGGAAACATTTTTTGAGTTGTCCTTTTCTTTCAAATGGCTTTATGCTTATTGTGGAAAATACTGAAAATAGAAAGAAAGGAGGAAACACCCCTTGGGAGTCCCGTTAATGAACGAGGACACATTAACTGCATTCTTACTCTTTATTCTTTTAGGCATAGACTTTTTTGTTGATTTGGGTTTTTTTTAGGATGACCAGGTTCAGAGACTCTTAATTCATTAATGAGGAGTTGTTCCTTAATGAGGGATGCAGCAAGCTGATAAAGCTGGTTTACAAGAGTGTCAGAGTATCAAGCTTTAGTTGCTAAAAGAGAATACGTAGGAATCGTATTTCTGAATCACATACGAAACTCGACAATGTCCTTCCTCCAGGACAACAAAGTTGTAACGTTTGGATTGTAATGGATGGAAACCGTTGCATCTATGCAGAACAAAATTCCTTTGGAATTTTAGAAAAAGACTCATTTGTGTCACTTGTAGTTTTGGTACGATAATATATCTATCCTTGCAGATATCCTGAGCAGTAATAGGGCATGAAAACAAATGTGAGGACCTTTACAGAATTCTAAATTCCTTGGGTGGGTCTGTGAGACAGTGCTCCAATATGACAGTGCCCTTTGTGGTCGTAAGTAATCTCCAGAGATTTTCCATGGTCACAAAAAGGCATTGTATTTGGGCTTGATTCATTGACAAAAATTCAGAAAAAGTTTTCATTAGCATATAAAAGGCCTTCTTGTATATGGGATAGCAAATCTGGCTCTCTATTGTGCTGAACAACTCTTGTGTTTTTTTAATGTGGTATAATTGACTCATAATGTTGCTTTAGCTTCAGAGATACAGCATAGTGATTTTGCAAATCTATACGTTATGCTGTGCTCACCACAAGTGTAGCCACCATCTGTCACCATACAGCTTTAAAACCATTGACTATACTCCCTATGCTTTACCTTTCATCCCTGAACAACTATTATTAATGAAGCCAGAAAGTTAGCTTCTGTCTGATGACTTATTAAGGAACCTAGGAGAGCATTTCAATGGCTTCCCTCACTCCAGCGATTTTCCTGAGATGATCTTATTTACTCTTCTGTTCCAAGGGCAAGAAACCAACCTCAAAAGTCACCTCCAGGGGTGCCTGGGTGGCTCACTTGGTTAGGCATCCAACTCTTGATTTTGATTAGGTCATGATCTCACGGTTGTGAGATTGGGCTCCATGCTGGGCATGGAGTCTGCTTAAGATTCTCCCTCTTCCTCTTCCTCTGGCCCTTTATCTGTGCTCTCTCTCTCAAAAACAAACAAAAAACCCATCATCTCCACTGGGTTTCATTGTTAGCACTTTTAAGTGTTGGTGAAATTACTGTTTCCTCTAATTTTCCCAAATCTGCTAAACTTCCTGGCAGTCCAGGAAGTAACCTTCCTTACTGCCTGTAAAGTCAGTGCCTCAATAATGGGCTTTGTCATATTCAATGAGACGAGGTTTATTTTTATGACGCTCTGGGTTTGGCCTCTGTTGCTTTCTATTTGTCTGGTTACATCCCAGTAAATGGGAAGATAGATTCTTACTGAGCTTCTGCAGTTTAATTATTGTGATTAAAAAATAAAGTGACTTAGAAAATATATTTCTTCAGGAATTCTGAGACCAAGGAGAACAAATTACTATTGAAAAGAATGTTTGCAAATTTCATTTGTAAAATCAAAGTCAACTAAATTGAGGGCTAGAAATAGACGAAGGTGAATGCTACAGAGTTTCCCCATCAGACAATAGGACATTATACATAATGCCAATGATTTTCCACAGTGCATATGGCAATTAGATTTCTAATATGAGTTCGATGAGTTCTATATATTAGTTCTTACTCCTCTGCATCTTGGGTCATTAATTTGATTTCATAAAGTCATCTATTTGTGGACCAAAAGAAGTCCTGCAGATCTGAGTTAGCCACCAGCACTGCCTGATGCTGGTCTGTGCAGTATCAGCTCAAAAGCCTCTACCCGCAAGTCTGTTCTCTGAAATCTCAAGAGTGAAGAAAGAGTATCTATCCTAAAAGTCCTATCCACCAGGCTCTGAGACGATTTTTTGAAAGCACAATCTAATCTATTAACTTACAAGCCAAGTGTCTAGGCAAACATGAGAGGAAGGCAGAGACCGCTCAGTAAGGATAAGAGTAAGTGGCTATGGTTAGTCCGTGATCAAGTTAATGAGTGGTATGAGCAAGGAGAGTTAAAATCCTTTTTCGGGGCATAGGACATTGGTTTTATTTAATCAGTGTTTCCCCTGAGGGCAAGAACGTATTATAGAGAGTGAGGACATTGACATATATCCAAGAACTTTCTGTAAAGTGAGCCATCTCTGGACTTTATATATAATATTTCACCTGTACAATATTAGCCTAGGGAAGGATGAGCTCCTCCTTAGATTTGACAAATCTTTCCATGCAATTTCTGATGATGTTGAGATTCTAACAGTCTTCTTTTCATAAGGTCAGGGAACAAATCTTGTGCTCACCAGGGGTCCTCTGGGAAAACTTAAGGATAGTTCATGTATCAAAGACATCTTGCAAAACTTTTTTTTTTTTTTTTCTGAATTTAAAGTCTGCTCTTGGGAAGACAGAATCAAATATTAATGAGAGGAGATTTCATTGACTAATAAAGGACTGTGGATGTCTAAGAACAATGAATATTTGCAATTTGCCTACCTAATAAAGCAACAATAGTTTACTTTGTGAAAAACAGTAAATCTTAAATCATTAGGAAATGAGGAACTTTTTTGTCATTTAAATTTTTAGGGATATCTCCTAGTTAGCCCAAAGTGCAAAAAAGTTCTCTTGTGAGATACTGAATCTCTGCTCTCAAGGCAGATTACATAGAACAATAACCTTTTATTACCTTTTGTAAGCATGGGCTGATTTCTCCAAGATGGGTCTGTCCTTCCACTAGAGATACCTGCATTTTAGTTTTATATTAATAGGGTATTTGCCGTGCATTACAATTTTTAAAAAATTACTTTATGAGTAAACCCATCACAGCTGTTCTAACTTTACCAAAATTTGAACATTGTAATTACATTTTTATAGACTTACTGTTTGCAAGTATTATCAATCAAGTCAAATAAAGCTCCCTTCATGCAAACCTACAATTTTTACATTTTCACCAACTTTTGTTCTCCATGGTTTTCTTTTAATTCTGAAACAACCAGATACTTTAAGACCATAGTACATAACTTACAGATATTGGAAATTATGTTTAAGCTGACACATCGCAGAACATAATTACTATTGGCATAAAAAGGTGTGTCACAATGATCATTCAGTTTAGTTGAGTACAACTTTTATATTTTTCTTAATCTTAAACATAACCTTAGCTTATCTTTTCAGTAAACTAATACTATAAGACATTTGAGATTTTTCAGCCAAACTAGGGGTGCCCAGGTGGCTCAGTTAAAGTATCTGACTTCAGCTCAGTGCATGATCTTACACTCTGTGAGTTCGAGACCCACATCAGGCTCTGTGCTGACAGCCCAGAGCCTGGAGCCTGCTTCAGATTCTGTGTCTTCCTCTCTCTCTGCCCTTCCCCTGCTCATACTCTTTCTCTCTCTCAAAAATAAACAAACATTAAAATAAATAAATAATTTTGTTTCAGTTAAACTGATCTCTAGGGTAAAACAAATCCAAACTTATTTTAAATATGAAATTATGTGTATGTCATACTGTACACTGATAAAACAAGGAAAAGACATAGCTGTTTTTTAAACCAGATTGTCAAATCAGTTTGACTTGTGTGAGAATTTGCTTTGATCACAAAAACTTGTTTTCTTGCTTCTGAAATCAGCATTTTTTATGTGAAAGTTCTCTCTCTTAAAACATAAACATTTTTAAATTATTAGCATTTCACTTTGTTTTCTTCGAATTTTGGAAATGTTAGAATAATCTAAATGCTAATTAGTCTCTGTAAACCAGTCAGAAAAGAGCTCCTTTATTTTAATTTATTATTATCCTCAGGAGGTTGGAAGATACTTCACACATACGCAGTGATTTTTTTTCCCCTCAGGTACAGAGACACAGAGAAAGAAATTAAAGCTTAGTTCTATAGCTTTGGCCGCAGGTCAGAAGTAAACACTGGAGTATAAAATTTCACCATTCCAGATCTCAAGAGATTGCTGCCTTTTCCACAGGGCACAAAATAGTGTCCTGATGTGAA